CAGAATTCCCCAGCCAGCATTCTGAGAGTTGAAGTCCACCCATCTTAAAGTTGCTGAGGTTGAGGAACCCTGTACTAAAGGATAACTGTTGGAAAGCAACAGGAGGAGATGACCACTATTGATAGGTGCATGCGGAACTACACAATACTTTTTGTGTTTTTCTGAATTAAAAAAAGAGAGAGAGAGAAGAAAGTGCCTTTTAAAAAAATCTTACAGGCCAATTCAGATTTCACGTGAAGAACTATGTCCCACGGGAAATTTAGATCTGCTGCCAAAGTGGAACCAAGGTGTCAAGGGCTCTTATCTAAAGTCTGGCCCTCCTACGCACCAGCTACTCCTAGACACTGCCTTTTGCATTTGCTGGGCGCTCTGTTCTGCCTGGCTTTTAAGATTTTTTTTAAAGCTTCCTTCAATTAAATCCATTTGACTGGAAGCTGGCAAATAAAGCCAAGTCCAGCATCACATCGATTTACAGGAAAACCCTGGTCCTCAGCCCTGCCTGATAACCGTTGATGAAAGAAAGAGAAATGGCATGGATTCTTCTGAAAGCCTACTTCCTTGCCAACTTAAAAGGACAGAGGGAAAAGAGAGTGTTCTGGATAGGTAGAGGGTGGCATCTTAGGAATGCAGTGGCTGGCCTTGCCTCCTCTTGCACTGTTACGGCCGTGCAAAGCATGTGAACGGGCTCTTAATGAAGCTCCTGGTGATAAGGCAGGTGTGCCTCCAGAGTTGCTTAGCAGGACAGCTTTCCCCCAGATGGCCTTGGGAAAGTGAAGCCTCCTGGACTGCAGGGAAGGCAAATGAAGTGGAGTAGCCATGTGCACGTACACACACACGCAGAGACCATCTGAGAACGCCTTGGAAGCAGCCCACCCTTTTTGGAAGACATAGCTGCCTCAACACTTTGTGCAAGCAAACCTCTCTTTGGATGCTTGGCCCAGCTTTAGCGGCCATTTTATGAGAGTGCTGCAATGTACCCTCAGGTGCCAAATGCACTCAGCAGCCAGGATTATCCCTGGTTCAGAGCTACACTCTGCTGATGTCAGCCTTTCAAGGTAGGCCAGGTCAGGAAAGGTTTAGAGCATGGATTTCAGGAACACTACTCTACTATTGTAGGGTATAACAGATCTTGAAAGCCTGCCAGAGGATCCCTCTGCCCTCTCTTATACCAAACAGAATCAAGGTGGAGTTATGTTGAGTCTCTTTCTCACCTCTTCTTTCCCAAGACAAGGCTGTCATTTACTTAATGGCTCTTGCATTCTTCCTTCAAGGTTATCTCTGTACTCCTCTACAGCTGAGCCCCCCCATATGTTAGATGTGCGGCCTCAACCACACTTTGCTAATTTGATCCTCAGTTCAAAACACAGCATGCTGGCTGGAGAACTCTAGGATTTGAAGTCCACACATCTTAAAGTTGCTGAGGCCGAGAAACACTGCTCTAAGTGGACAGTATGTAGCCCTTTGGATGTTCTTGAACTGCAATTACCAGCATCTCTCACCAGCTGGAGGGACTAGCAACATCTGGACAGTCAGAGGCTACCCACCCCTGACTTTCAAGCACAAAAGAAGAGCTGAAAGCGGGTTGAGGCCACAAAAACTAGGAACTATAAATGGGTGTAGATGCAACCTACTGGATTTTGTTTAAATATAAGGAAAAATTTCCTGAGGGTAGCATCTATCCAACAGTGGGAAAGCCAGCTAATGTCCTGTGGCTTCTCCAGGGGTTTTTAAGAAGAGGCTCCTCTCAAAGGTGCTTTAATTGGTTTTCTTGCACTTTGCAGTGGGTTGGACAAGATGTCCCAGGCAGTCCCTTCCAAATCTATTCCAGCTGATGCTCGTGTATATGTAGGAACCGATGGAAAATCTACCTATTAAATAACCAAAGTCTTAATGAATTAGCAACCTGTTCCTGGCAACATGGTCCCACTGTGAACAAGCACTGGACAGAAACAAGAACCACAACACTGTGCACGAGCATGTGCGTTGTGGATCGGTGTGAATACGCACGCCTTGCCGGCTTCTCCAGTTCCAACTCTAATTAGGACAAAGGGGGGAAAACATCAAGAGGTTCACTTGCCAGCATCTTTAGCTGACAGGAAACAAGCAAGCAGGGTTTTAATGTCATGTAAACAAGGCCAAGCGAAAACAAGTTGTGACATCAGATAACAAGAAATTCCCCACGGGAAACACAAGTCATACGACACTTCTTCAGTAGCAGCCGAAACATTTTGTAGCCTTTTGATTATTATTTTTCTTGGAAGAATCCTCTCTACTCGGCTGGCCCCGTGGAGGACGCTCACAAGAAAAGGGAGCCTGGAAAAACGTTTTCCAATTGCTACGCCTACTTTGGCAGCCCCCTTCCTTCTCTTGACAGCCGTTAAGCGGGAGCCAACGGTAACATCTGTGGTGGCTCTCTGTTAAGAGCACAAAAATAAATACATTTTAAACCATGCACAATGCGAGCATGACATCAGCATGGCCTCAGCGCAAGGGGTGTAAAATGGATGCAAAGTGTTTTAAGAAATTTTATCCGATCAATCTGCAAGTTACCTGCAAATGGAATCAAGCAGTCCACGAGCCTGGCATTTACTTCTTTGTGGTTCCTGGAATGGGTACTATGAGCCATATCAGGTGGTCACAGATGGCATTCATTTTATTTTAAAACAAGGCCCAATGTAGTGTTGCTGGGAGGCATTGTGGGAAATTAAAATGGCAGCCCTCCACGGCCCATGCTGTCTTCCATCGACCTCCACTGCTACCATGGCTATTCACTGGGAGTGGAAGTGTTTCTCAATCTTGGCAACTTGAAGACGTGTGGACTTCAACTTCCAGAATTCCCCAACCAGAATTCTGGGAGTTGAAGTCCACACGTCTTAAAATTGCCAAAATTGAGAAACACTGCATTAAAGTGTGTTTGGATGATCTGTCAAACTGAGAGCAGGCACTACATTCATTTGCTAAACTTCACAGCCTTATCTAAACAGGTTTAAGTACTTTCTGAAAAGAACAGGTTCATCCCACAGTATTTATTCTGTGGCCAAAAACTCACAGTGGGAACAAACAACAAAACCAAAATCTGCTCTACCGAGTATAGTTACTATTTTATTTGTCAGTTGCTCCCTATATGGAGCTCAGTAGAGTGATGATTATAGTGAAATCTATTGGGTGAGAATTTATTTCATTTATTTATTTACAGGACTTATATGGCCACCTGTCTCATATAATGACTCCTGGCAACTTACAACAATCCATAAACACATGGTTGAAAGTAAAAGTACCCTGCTCCCTCCCTGGCTCCCAGCTCAACCCCCATCCTAGCCCAATACTTGGGAGAAGAGCCAGGTCTTCACGGGCTTCTGGAAGGCTAGAAGGGTAGGGATCCCTCAGATCTCAGGTGGAAGGCTACGCCTCAGAGGGCAGTCACCGAGAAGGCATGCCTCCAAGGTCCCATCAGGTGGCAACATTTAAGGGAGGGGACCTGGAGCACGCCCACCCTATCTAACCTAGTAAGATGGGCAGATACCCTCAGGGAGAGACAGCCCCGCAAGTAACCTGGCCCTGTGCCATGTAGGGCTTTAAAGGTGATAACCAGCACCTTGAATTGCACCTGGAAAGCACCTAGAAGCCAGTGCAGTTCACGCAACAGTGGTGTTACTCAGGTGAACCGTGGGGCACCCAAAACTGCACATGCCGCTGCGTTCTGGACCAGTTGCAGCTTCTGGATTGTCTTCAAGGGCAGCCCCATGTAGAGCACATTGCAGTAATCCAGATGGGAGGTGACTAAGGCCTGGATGACTGTGATTTCTTAGTGATTCTGTGATTTTCTGATTGGTTGAGGCAAATTGGAGTTGGGCGGCTAAGAAATTCAAATAAATAAATAATAAACAAATTCACACACAGAGATTCAGTGCCTGCATAATATCCCATTCAGAATTTTCCAGAGTTAAAATGTTGGGCATGACCTCTCCGTCCCCTTCCAAAGGGTATGGTTCTTACTCGGTCTCCCTAGTTCCAAAGACCTACAGGGTAGCTGCTGAAATTCAACAGCCATTTAATCTAAAGACCTCTCAGCCCAGTTTATCTATGGGCTAGGTGAATTTTCAACCCTCGGGGATTAGCAATTTTGATGAGCAGGCTGACCCAGCAGCTGTCCCAATTTAAGCCAATTATATAAGCAAAGGCATTTGAAATGATTCATTCTGGTCTTACCCACATGCAGGCTTCCAGCCTGACTTTGGACATGATGGTCCATAACGAAATTGATCCTTCGACTCCCTCTTTGTTCGGGCAGATAATCTGGTCAGGATAGGGTGGTTCGGGGAAATTCACAGAGTTGCATTCGTAAGCAGCCAGCGTCACAGATGCTATATGTGGGCCCTGCAGAAGGGAAAGGGAAGGAGGGCAGGGGGGCAGAATTCAACAAACGGTGGGAATCCATTTAATTAGTAATAAACAAACAGCTCGGCTTCCAACAGAAAGCTCCTCATATAACCCCATGCCCTAACCTAGGGTGCCCTCCGTGTTGGACTTCAATTCCCATAATACTCCAAAACAATTCACTGGAGTCCAGCCACAGAACAGAACACATTTCAGCTCCTTCCATTAATTACAAGGCAGAATTCGGTTAACGTCTCTGGAGAACTATTTTTCAGAGCGTTGTTCCTCCCCCCCTCCCCCATGACTCAGAGGGTGGATTGGGGGGACCGGGGGGGGGGGG